TCAAGGAAGCGGCCCAATTTCGTCCCATAAAACATGACGGATCAACCCATTTAACGCTACACTACTTCATTGTACACTAGCAAATGTAAATTCTAAGTAGGCAAACCAAACAATTATATAGCCATACTTTAATCATCAGGAATGCATATTCTCAAATTAACATATCCACTTAACCAGTGGTTTCGGGTTCGAGCCCTGGGAATGCAGCAGTGTTAAAACTCTTGAGGGAGAGCTTTGCCGCCCTTGTGGTCCTGCCCGGCTCGATTCCGGATTAGTCGGGTCCCCTGTGGATCCGGAAACCGGAAGGTCCCTGTACCAAAAAAAAATATGGCCTTGTTTGGCAATTATTTAAGAGTGAAATTATGATAGTCATTGTATTAGCGGATAAGGAATAATGAATTGTATGAATTGTTTGACTAGCATATTCAATTTGCGGTTTATCAAACAAGCGTTTGATAGATAGCAAAATTTATCGAATCACGATTTGCTGATAACATGTTGTAAATGGAGATCCTTCCATCCTCAAACATTCATCAAACTTTCACAATTCACATAAAACATAATAAGTAAAATGTAAATGTACGATGTAAATAAAAGGAGCAGAAAAGTTTCTATCTTTCATTCATCGTCTTCTCCCTTTTATAGGCTTTGCACTAAACCTAAACTAACCTATATAATGGGCTTCTAGCCCTATAAGCATTTTGGTATTGTTCACATAATAATATATTTATACATTTTTTGTTTATAAAGAGTGATGAGTCGACTCATGTAACTGTTATACCGTTCCAATAACCTGTTTATAAAACAAAATGAAAATAAAAATTCAATTCATCTTGCTATATAGTCAACTACTCGTGGGGTGCATGTATAAAAGCTCGTCATGGACAATACACATTTCGATTAAATGTACCAAATCAAATTTTAGTGTTTGTGTATATATTTCCAGTATTTAGTTTTTATAGTTAAAAAATAAAATAAACCTGTATCAATAATTAGTTAATAGTTAAAATAAAAGATAGCTTTACTTCTAAACTATTTTTCTCTAACAGAGTCACTAAATTATGTCATATTACGAGGGGAGAAAAAAATGTGATATCCATTTTCAAGATTTTTTTTGCTTCTTATAAATTATGGGAGATTCTAAAGTCTTTACGGAACCATTCCGTCGGGGTTGGTAACCGTTAAATCAAGTATCCACAAATGGTTATGTGATAATCTAACGGTTACAAATCTCGACGGAATGGTTCCGTAATGGGATTGTAGCATGTCCCATTATAAAATGAAAAATGGACATCTCAAATTAAGTATGTTTCGTTGAGCTGCTAATGTGGAATTGGAAATAACTAAAACATTTCATATTTGAAAATTTGCAAAGTACGTAGTTATGATATGCATTAATGAGCAATAAATTGACCTTTGATCAATTAGATAGTTATTTTGTTTTTTTTTTCTCCTTTTCCAACACTCAAAATAAAATAAAATAAAAATTAAATGTTAATGTGTACATATTTTCCTTCTTCCTCACGATTAAGTTAAGGGAACATGTGCTGTTAGGTGGATGATCCATGCCTTTGTCACATTGATAATTTTCTTCCTATGTGTCCCAACAAACTTAAATTTGTTAATTTGGGATTTTTTTTTTTTACTAATATATATATTTAAAAAAAAAATGTTATAAATTCTCACAATGTTTATTTAGAATTTAACATTTGAATATAAAAAAAATACATTTAAATAAAATGTATTCGAATCTAACTGTAAATACACTAGTATTCTACCATATGCACATGCATAGATGTTATACATCAATTGTCATACTCATGTTATAAATTTATTTTCATCCTAAAGTCAAGTGCGCTTCTTTTACGAGTGATCGTGCGATATATTAGAATATAATACACTTGTGAGTTGTCCCACATCGTTTATACAAAGAAAATGAGCCAC